TAATGCACAGGGGTATGATAGTTTAGTGTTGGCTAATTCTTATTTATGAAGCTAATGGAGGATTTTCTAGCATGATAGAATTAATGTGGCTGGTAGCTGAGAGAAGAGTTTTGTATCTCCTGCTGGGAGAAACTCAACATTCCCTTGAAATTGGAGTTTCTGCATAGGTTGGTTTCTGCCTGCTTGAGTTGTGTACTTGGATGTTTGCTGGGGCTCATTTGCAGGGTCATGCTGGGAGCAGGGGATGGTGGCAGAGGAGACTTCAGAGATCTGCACAGCTCCTGGAAAAGAAATGGGTCTGGATGCTCCCAGATAGGAGGAAAAGAGAATTACTGATCACCAGCCAGGATCACTACCACCACCACCAGCTCGTGGTCCTGTTCAAAGAGAGAACTCTGCAGGTTTGCTGGCACAGTCCATCGAAATTAATAGTTTTTAGAGTGTAATTTAGATTTTTCCTCTACACATTCGGTTGATTAAGCTTAGAAAGTATTTTTCAGAACTTTGTCAAATGAACATTTGAAAATGCTAAATGATGTCCCATGGAGACCTTGTCCTGATAGATTTGCATGAGCAAATTGAAATGTCATGGTCCTGGACCCTGAGGTAAAGAAGTTCTGCAGTTGTTCATAGCCAATTCCACTTGCATTTCATGTAATATCCACTGGACTCTTACTTGTGGAGATTTTTGGTTTCTTGAGTACATTTTTGAAGTCATGTTTCCGACACTGATGTTAACTTGTGGCTACTCATATTTTCCAAGTGTCTAAAATTTCCTCATTTCACATGAAATTCTCTCCCTGTAAAACTGACCCTATAAAACACCCAAGATGCATCAGCACCACTGCAGCAATTTAAGTGAATTGAAATATCTAAAAAACATTGTTTAAAACCCTCACCTAGACCTGATAATTTGTGAAATTTAGTGGAGTATATACATTGGAGATACTTATAAAGATAAAATCAGTTCATAACCTGATAATAAGTACTGTGGTACAAATTTATACATTTCTCTGAAATGCTGAGGCCTTCATGCCATTTCTAAATTGGAAAGTCACAAACTTAGTTATATGTTTTATTTACATCCCCAGCTACGTTTTATTGCAAGACTTTGGAAAATATTTTGTAACAGTGCAATAGTTCTGACAGTAAGTCAATGCAAGATATCACAGAAAAAAAATTCTCAACAATTATCCTTCCCACCCAAACCTTTTCTTAGAAGCAGTATTAGAAAACTTTAATGGCATTTTACTCCCACCATAGGCAGAAAGAGTTTTTTCATTGACTTGAAGGGAAGAAATGTTTAACCCCTTACTTTTTGCATCAGCGGAGAAGAGTGGTTGGGTCGTTGGTGGATTTTGGATTGAAACTGAGTTATAATAAACAAAACCAGTTCCATTTAACCTGAACTGAGCAGCTCTGCAGCTGAGGTTCTTTCTCTACCTGCACTCCCTTTTAAAATATCTGCCCAGGTGCCATGGTGATGCAGTGAAAAACAGAAGCCAGTGATGATAAGAAGTTGGTGCTGTGCTGCACACGATGCAGAGGCTGAAACGTGCTGGTCCTGGCCCTGGCACGGCTCTGACGGGCAGCAGGAGCTGTCAGAAAGGTCAGGATTTCAATGGCATTTCAAATGTGCATTTCCAGTGCTCACTGCACTCCCTTCTCCTGCTCTGTTCTTTCCTTTCCAAGCTCTGGAGCAAGCACATCCTCTCAACAGACCTCCCTGGACTAACAAATGTAGGTAATAAATAAATGAGGAGAGTTTCAAAGTCAGAAATTTCCTTCAAAGCCTTGTGGAAGGGGATGTATTTTGGAGCATGAAGGCCAATTTGGATACTTGAGCTTTCTCTCACAGCTCTCTTTTCTGTGCTGAAAGTCTTGTACCTTTTCTTTTTTTAGAAGGCTTGCTAATTCTCTTCTCACCCTCTGTACACCTGCCAACTCTTCTCGCAGTTGTTGCATTAAATGACACATTTACAAGGTGTGATTGACCACGTTCAGGTCTGAAATTCAGTCCATTACATTTAAAACTCTGATTCATGACTGCAAAATTATATCAACTCAAGTGCAAATTAGATAAACTCAGGATACGAGTTCCCATCTGAATTTTAGTTTTACTTGAGAGCATCAAAACATTGTCTACACCTCTGCTATGGGAACTCAGTGTGGGCTGCAATATCTGTCTGAGGAGCTGGAGATGCAGCAGGGTTAATTCCTCCTGAAATGGATCTGACCAGATTGCCCAGGTCACACAAGACAGCTGTGACATGTCTAGGGATCAAGTTGTGGCCTTCTGTAACCGTGATAGCATCCTTTTGAGCAGATTGCTGATTTTTTTTTTTTTTTTTTTTTTTTTTTTGCCACTCACAAACCCATAAAACATTGCCAGTGGAGATGAGGATTTCTGTATAATTGTGAGTCTGTCAGAATAGGCTTGATCTTCACACCAGATTTTTTGGATGAACATCCGTATTTCATTTCAGGTTCACATGTTTAATGGTTTATTTGAAACCTGTTGCATACTTTTTATCTTTGTCTGTAGTGAAATATTTACATTTCTTCAGTGAATGCTGAACAAAGTCACAACAGATAGATACTTTAGTAGACACTACAAAAAGCAAAAATATCCCCCATATCCACATCCAAAGTAATTCCAAGCAAACTTTTTTTTTTTTTTTTTTAACATATATTTCTACAGCCTCTTTATTAGTGCTCTTTTTTGAGATTTGGTCTTCAGGTTAAGCTGGACTTCACTGTGTTGTGGACCCATCTTGCAGCTCTGTCACCTGATGCCCAGAGTAGAACAGCCAAGAGCTCCTGCCTGGAAGCAGGTGATGGACTGGAGCTTTCATCCTGGTGGTGAGGGTCCTGTATAATGAAGTGTGTGTGATGACATGAAACACCTTATTTTCATCCCTTATTTTTTCCCACTTTTGCTTGCTTCTGAACTTGGTAATGACTGCAAAGCAGCAGCTGGGAAAAGTCACAACTTGAGTAATACATGGAGGATTTTAGGCATTGCTAAAATCAAAAGAAGCAATGGGCCAATCTTAAAGAAATCACCTGCAAAACATCAAATAGCCAGAAGGATTTTAAATGGCCATTTATTCCAGTAACTGGTAGCTTTTGTGTAATCATACTTAGATGTATCATCAAGTTCAGAGGGAGAAGTCCCACTCCTAGGAGGAGTGTTAGTAAACAAGTAAGCCAAGGGATGTGAGGAAAGTTAATACCTTTTATTTGACATGCTAATCCCAGTTGTGGGCAGGGAGGCAAGATCTCAAGTATTGAAGCCTGTTGTCAGGTCTGAGACAACACACTGGTTTTCTGGTTGCAGCTCTCAAGTTCAGGATTGATCATGTCTGATTCTACCTCGACACATACAACCACCACAAGGAGATCTCTTTGAGTGGGAGTTTCTACTGGAAACACAGTTCTTCAATTAAATTCTTTAAGAATGAAGAATTATTCACAGCTGCTGGATTATGAGCAGGCCACAGCCTAAAAATGAAGCTAACTTTGACTTTCAGTCTGTTTCTTAGCAAACTGGTCATGTGTTTTCCCAGCAGGATTGCTGGAGTGAAAGTGTCCACTGTGTTCTAGCCCAGTGTAATCTGCATTTCTAATTAAGGCTATTTGCAAGTCCAGTTATCTGACATGTGCAAATAACAAATAATAAAGCAATGAGAAAGTAGCAATCTGCAATGAAATCTTTGTTTTAAATTTCCTTCTTTTATCTTCTCTCATATAAATGTCAAGTGCACAAAGGATGCTTTGGCAATGGCACTCACTCACTGCTGCAGAGGGTTGGGGCACTTTGGGTTGTTCTGATCTGCTTTCCATCCCTAGGGAGTTCCCCATTTGGGCACGGGGTGTTTGGTAGAAATGGCTCCATGTGCTTGTAGATCCTGCTGGTTTGGGGAGTTCAGCCCCTTGCAGGGCTGGGTCTGCAGCTGCAGCTTGGCATTCATTCACCTTAATGATCCTTTCCTCTTGGAGCTCTCCATGGTTGGTTCAGGGGCTGAGCATCACCATGTTCGAAACCAGAGCTTCCTAAATTACTCATTTTTCAGGTTTCCAGGCTTTGCTCTCTAACCTCTCTTGGAAAGAGAAGTGGATTTTGAAACTCCTAAAACAGTTTATACTTCCAGCCTTTTTTTTCTTTTCCCAGACTTTTTTTTTTTCCCCTCATAATTTGACACATTTTTGCAAACAGTCTCTGCTTTCACCTGAGGTCTCACATAGAAACTGAGCTTGTTTCACCTGTCTTGCCACTCTTCCTGCTTGGTACCTCACCACTGGCTTTGGCTCTGATGTTTGCTGCCCATGTACCACACTCTTGGAGCCCCAGGCTGACTGAGAGACCCGCAAACTGCCCCACTGCTTAGGTTGGGTACCCCTGATTTTGGAACTGCTCTGAGAAAGGAGAAAATTAATTGGAAACCAAATCTCCAAAGGTGTGAATTGTCAAGGGAAAGGTCAATCCCACCTTCCTGGAGTGTGGGTTGCTGATAATTCCCCTGAGAGTTTGACAATTGAAGTGATTCTGGACCAAAATTAAATTTCATTGGAAAAGTTTCCAATGGCCTTTTGTTTTATTTTTCAATTTTGTGTGTAGGGAAATGCTTTGATGGGTTTAAACACCACATTTTTTTGAGTTGCCTAGGGAAACTGAGGCTGTTTGATATTATTATTTTTTCAATACAAAATTAAACTGGAGGTAAATTTTACTGTTTTCAGATTTACATTCCCAGTGCTGAGAGAGCAAAAGCCTTAAGGAGGCATTAGCAGTGGAATTCTCTGAGAAACCACAGCTTCCCTGTGCATCCAAATGCTGCATTTAGAGGAGTATTCATTTTGGGGCTTGGTTTAGCCCTTAAGACCTCTGCTCTTGCAGAAGTCAGCAAAGGCATGATCTGCAATCTCAGATTCACTCTACAGAGCTTTTCTCCTATGACAAATTTTTTGTGAAACCCCAGTTCTTCCTAAATACATTATCTAACATGATGTATACGTGTGTTGAGAAGTTGCTACAGGTTTGTCTAAATCATTAATTGCTTTTAAAAAGCAAGAGAATTTCAAGCTCTAGATTTTTTTAGGCTCCTTCTCACTACTAAACCTTTAGCAGTCCCTTCTTTCTATTATTCATGATTTCTCCGCTGTTCTCGTAAGAGGTTCATGATGATTTTTGATTTTAGAAGACAGCGCTATAAAAAGCAATTAAAAAAGTCAAAATATCAATAGACTTGTGATATATAACCAAAAGACTTGGCAATATTTCATATTCCTTCAAATTTAGTGTCTTCTTCTCATGCACAGGTTTTCTCAGATTTCTTTTGTGAGGAAGCAAGTCTGGAGCTTCAATTTTGCTGGGCATAATATAACAGAAAGAAGAGAGGAACAGTGGACCTCAGCCATGGTGGGGAAACCTAATTTTTGTCTCAGTCCTTTGACTGAATCAATGTTGTCTTGATGGAGGAACTTGCTCTTGTGGTCAGGTGGAAGAAAGCTGGAATTAGGATGTTTAACCTGAGAGCTCTTTTCTGTGAAGAAACAGGAAACAAATCTGGAGGGAAACACTCAGAAAAGAGGTAAATAACCTGTGAAGTGTTTAGTTTTTGTTCTGTTTGGGCTGCTTTGTCTGTTCATCATTGTATTACTCTGTCCATCCTTTGTTTTTGTTGCTCCCAAAGTGTACCAAACACAGCACCGTTTGTCCCTTTCATGATTCCCTCTACTCTTTGGCACTAAAATTTGCAGAACATCTTGGTGAACAGGATGAGAGATAGATCCATTTTAGTAATTTCTCACCTTATGCCTCTTTCCATGATGTAAAATTCAGCAGGATCTCATCTTTGGTGTGATTCATAGCCTGGAAGACAAGAACACAGCTGGAGGCTGCAGTATGCAACAGGTATGAAAAGGAAGGGAAATATTTTATGCTGCTGTTATCACCAAAAATAGATCTGTAAGAGCATTGATGGGAACCATCAAGACTGAGTACAAGTGAGAGAGAGCACAGGTGAATCTTACTCTTTTATTAGCTGCAGAGAAATAAATGCTAGGAACACATAATCCCAAAATGTGACATGCAGTTTATATTTCCAGTATAATATTAAAACAACAGCATGTAAAAGGAGAATTTCCTTCTTCTTCCAGTCACTGCAGAAGCCCAAACCAAGCCAAACCACCTGTGGCCCTTGGTAGGTCAGATCTGAGCGAGTCTCACCCACTCTGTGAGGACAAGGAGATCCCAGCTCCCCTGCCCATCCCAGGCAGCAACACTGAGTGCATGGGGGTGAAGAGTTCTGAGATCCCCCGGCTGTGAAAGGTCAGGAGAGCATTGCTGCCTCTTCCAGGAGCTCCAACACCAAGGGGAAAAATAAATCACACAAAGCTTAAATAGGAAACCGCAGCTGCTGTCAGATTAAATCTGTTACAAGTGCATTCCGATGCCTTGCTGAACAGTGTTTTATTTCACACCTCAAAATGTGAGGCCCTGTGCCATGGACTTGCTCCTTTTTCCCTATTCCCCCTAGATGACTTAACAAGCTGAAAGTGCAGCTGGAAATTAATGCTTCCTGTCTTTTTAAATAATGTGACATTGAAATCCTGGTATTTAATGCGTTGGCATTTAGCATGCCACAATATTTCAGTTACTTTGCAGTGGTTGGGGTGCAGAAGTGTTATTACAGCTGTTCTGAAATTCTGACAAAGAGGTGCATTTCTCTCTTCTTTTTTTTTTTTTTTTGTTCCTTTTTTTCTCTTCTCTGTCCCACCATAATTGCTTTTTGCTGCATCTCTGAACCGTAACCATGGCGATCTGCCACATTCATCAGAGGACCCTCTTGTTGTTTTGCTTGTGTGAATGTAAGAAGGGGAAAAAATATAAAAAATAGAAAGAAAAAATAGAGGCATATAATATTTGCAGAACTTTCCTCAAAAAAGCACAGATTTTTCTTTTTTTAACCCCCCCCTTTTTTTTTTCCTTTTCCTAAAGACAGAAGCTGCATTGGAGAAGTGGCCTGGCCAAAACACCAAGGACTTGTTCATAGTCTAAAAAAGGGAGAGGAGGAGTCTGGATCTGGAGGTGTCACTTTGTGGAGAACAGGCTTCGATAACTGGAGCTTTCGAGCCGTTCCCCCCTGAAAGGAGGAATTGTTATGTGCAGAAAGGGCAGGAAAGGTTGAGCCTTTTTCCATTTCTGTCTGATGACAAGCTGGTCCTTGTTTGGAGAACAAGTTCATGCAGAACACCATTACACCATCAACTCATGCCATTTCTGACTGGGGCAGGAGAAACTACTTGGATTTGGACAGGAGCTGCCCTTTCCTGGCTTTGCTGGGTGCGTGGTCTGTTCCTCATGCTATGGGTGGTGAGGAAGGAGGGATGTTGAAACCACTGGCTGTGATGAGGCAGGCAAAGGGTGAAGGGGAATGTTCTTGCTCTGACATGTTTTTCTACATCTACCACCTCGGAATACTTCTCTTTGACTGCTTCGAGGATCTTTGGGAATCAGCCTGGAGACTTTCATCTAGAGGGACTTGGGCAGTTCATCTTTGCTCATGTTCTGGAGCTACTTTGAAGGGATAGGAAAGTGTCTGACATCCAGAGTGTCCTTTGACATGCTTTGCCCACCCAATCTATCACTTTTAGTGGACTCCTGAAGACACGAGGAAAGAAAAGCTAGCAGTGGTTGTCAGAGGGTCTTTGTGGCATCCTGTAGTGTGGAGCATGGGACATGTAACTTCCAGTGTCCTGTCTGCCACATGAGATGGTTGGGAATGAGGGCTTGGAGTCCTGCAAAACCTGGGTGGTTCAGCTGTAGAAGAGATTTGTCCCCCTTTAGAGGTAACTCAGCTCATTTCCATGGAGCAGAAAAAACTACCTGACATTATTCTGCTATCCTTCGACATGACAGCCTGGAAGAGAGTGATGAAGCAGCTGTGCTCTGGATCCTATGGCAGCCCTCACAGGGTGATTTTGAGAGATTTCCTAAATGTCCTTGCTGTGGCAGTCATCTGCAGCAATACCCAATTGTCTTGTAAACTGGTAGCTCTTGACACAAAGCTTCATCTGAATGAGTAATTGCATGTCCCAAGGCTGTAAATTGTTGTAATCAGGGACTGGGCTTTGTTTTGGCTTTACAACATTTGGCACAGGGGCTTTGGTGTCTGGGGCTTCAGAACAGCAACAGGCTGGTACAATTCACCCCCAAGCCCAGTTTGAAACTCCTTCAGTCTTGTGTTTGTGTCCTGCCATGGCTGGTAATGCTCACAGCAGTGACTGTGGAGCTGTGGCAATTGGGGGAGCTTTTCTCCTCCTTTGCTCTCCCTCAGCCAGCTGCACCTTCTCTAATTTCCTCAAGTCGTGGAAGTTCCACTCACTTCCTCACCACCTCAGCAGTGGTTTTGGTGGGTCAAAACCTCAGTGTGTGCTGTGCTGCCAGTGTCCAGTGCATAGACTGGGATCTCAGCCTGTGTCAGAGGTTTCTCATGGGCTCACTGGCCCGTGCTGGCACTGGACAAAGCAGGGCACACGTCCCTCCTGCCATCAGCACAGAGAGCCTGGAGGAGGCAGGAAGGTTCCTCAGGCAAAGCTGCTCATTGATGTGCCTCAGTGTGGGCATTTGCTGGCGAGACAGAGCCACCAGAGCATTGCTCAGTGACCTGAGAGGGATTTGGTTAGAAAATGTCGGGTTCTGTTCTCGTCTGGGCGCCATTTGATCCGTCCCCAAAGATGCAGCACACTCAAGGCCCTGGGGCCCTCCCATGGGTGACAATGGATACATTGGGGTCTGCAGAGCAAACCAGCCTGTCTACAAGTCAAAAAGTCTTAGAGACCCGTTTGTAGGTGGGATTGTCAATATAGAATAACAAAGCGAAAAGCACTCCGGGCTAAATGTTATCAGAGATTATTTTTAACTTTATTTTTACTGTTTCTGATGTGTTCTTCAATCTGTCTTGTTGATGTTTATTTTTCCGTTTGCAGTAAGGGTCATATGTCATGCCTCCCTTGCATCAGGTGCCATACAACCATGTACTGTCCTTCCCACAAACAGTTCACAAAGTCTTTCTCTGGGGATGAGCTCTCCCTGGCTCTGCAGTCACTGACTTGGACATGGCCTGTAACAGGAGTTTCTTTAGACGGTGTAGGACTCCTTATTTCTCTGATAAACATCCTAACTGGAGGTAAAACAGGACATAAAAAGTACAATAATATTTCAAAATATTTCCCATAATCAAAATTCATAATAATTAGAAATACCTCAAAGTCCCCAGAGTGTATTTATATTTGGATATTTAATATAAGGAAGCTTATTTGCCCTTCAGTTGTTTTCTTGCTCTCTTTTTTTCCACATGCTTCCTTAAAAACCTGGGACCTAAAACAGTAAACTCAAAATAGGTTTTCAGTTATTTATCGACCATAATGCAGAATTTTCAAAATCCTGAAAATTCCCTGATGAATTCTGAAGAAGTGTTTATCTATGGAAGAATGCTCTCTATGTTGGTTTGCAGGGGGCAATCAGAGGACAAAAGTAGAATGTTTTTTACGAGTAGGACCTGCACTAAATCCTGTTGTACAATGTTAAGGATTGCATGTCTGTAGATGTAGAAACCTACTAGTGACAATATTTATTAAGTTAAAGCTACTCACTAAATAACTTGAAAAGAGGTAAATTAAGTGATGAGTAATAAAAAGTGAAACAGCAACTTTTCACTGAACAACTGTCTTAACTTCTTTTTACAAGGAAAATAGGACAATGAAGGAGCTATGCAAGGTCCCTCTGGACCATATGAGGTCCATCCTGGGAAAATGCAGGAGCTTTGGGAATGCAGCATCTCATCTCAAGAAAGAATGGCCACAGGATGAGGTGAGCTTTGGAGATAGTTGTGACTGTGCTACAAGCCTGAGGTGCCAATTTAAATTTAACTTTTTTCCCCTAGAAGTGAGCAATGCCTAGAGTTTTCAGCCTCCTGCAGATGAAAAACAATAAAGAGATTCTACAGGGACGCATCTTGGTAGGACTAGAAAGGTGCTTTTTCCATATTGCTGATCTCTGAGGGAATTGTTCCAGTATAAGGTAGGTTCTGAGGCACAAATGATTTTCATTTTTTTCAGCTCTATTTTGGTTGTTATGGCTGAGCACAAATAGGGCTCAGCAGGGCCATTTGGTGGAGCTGCCATAGGCTTGAGCATTCCTCATAGCAACACTGCAGCGGTCTGTGTGATGAGCACCACAAACTGTAATGCCAGGTAGAGCAAATGGAACTCAGAGCTGAAAATTAAATATTTTTAATTAAAATCCACATCTGCAAGCCACTTGCTGAGAGGCAGGGCTTGGCTGCTGAGTTCTGCTGCCACGCTGGGATCACCAGGACCAGAGATGGCAATTCCAGAGAGGCAGCCAGCCGATCTCATGGGCTAATATTTAAAAAGGTGCTGGTGCCCAATGGAAAATATTTTGTGAAGTTCTCTACCAGGAGTGATCATATCTGCTTGTGAGAAGTGTCACAGGTGGGGAGCATAGCTCTCACTTCTGTCAGGGGCAAGCCTGGCTTTGATGAAGGTTTCAGGATGCCTTGGAGCTCTTTTGATGTGATGGCCACTGAATTTGTTGTTATGCCAGCAGAATGCCGTGATCTCAAACTAAGTCATCCTCAGAATTTCTCTAAATTCCTCTGACTGCTCTTTTCGTGGCCTTGGATAACATCCCTTGATCATCTCTCGACCATTTCTTTCTCTTTGTGCAGGAGAAGGCTGAGGAGAGATGGATAAGGTGCTGGTAGTGCTACCAAGCCAGGAGTTTGTCCTGCACATCCCACATGCCCCACACTGCTGCTGCCTCTCCACTTGCCCCACTGCTGCCTCAGAGCACCCCTTGAGCAGGAATTGTGTCTCTGTGTGGTCTGAAGGGGCACTCGGAGCTGGAAACAGCTGCCAGGAAAGGTTTCATTTCACCATCTCTTTTTGTTTTAACTGAATCAGCCTCACACCATCCTTATGCAGCTACAGAGGCAAGGAAGAGCCAGTGAGGAGTTAATTACATTCCTCTGCACCTCTCTGTCTATGTTATGGGCCGTGAGAGAGCAGGTTTGAAGCCTGTTAGCAATGATTTCAAAGCCAGAGAATAGAGCAGCATATTCATACCTGGTTAATATGCCTCAGCTCTCAGCAGCATTTAGCAACCCCCCACTCTGCCTTTACTGCTGTGTTGGTTTTCTATGTAAATAGATCTCATAGTATGTTTTTCATGAAAAACAAACAACAACAAAACCTGTATCCTTTTAGCAGGAAAGGAATAACGTCAAGTGGCAGATTAAGAAAAACATGCCAGAAATGTTTAGGAAGGCTTTGGGGAAGAGAAAAGCTAGAGCTTTCTGTTCAGTTCCTAAATTTCAGGTTTGTTGTTTAGGTTTGTGTCTGCTTAAATGGAGAAACAGAGTGGTAAGAGAGGGATGAGAATTTGCAGACTTTGAACATGAAGATCTCAGCAAGACAAAAGCTTGTCACCCTCCTCTGTCTTCCCAATCACTTTGGAAACAAGACTTAATCAGCTGAGACAGTCTGAGCAAAAGGGTTATCGTTCAGCTTTCTCTAAAAGTGGCCAGATTAATACTTAATTCTGTCAAAGAAGAGAAGTTTGCAGAGACCAGCCCACCTTGGAGAAGGGTGGCTGTTGGTGCTGCAGAGCAGGCGGTGAAACACAAATTGTCAGGTTCAGTTTTGTTTAAAATCAATTTCATTTGCTCTAACGCAACCAGGTTGTGTTTGTATTTTCAGTAATGGCTGGGAATAATGAATTATCTTTTAATTTAACAAATCTCTCACTCTCTCGTCACTCTAACGAAACCCCCAAGTTTTATTAAAAAAATTACTTCGACACCAAATTAACTCAAGATTTTAAACCAGTTGTCAGTGCACCTTTAAGTCAAATTCTCTTTCCACTTTTAGCACAGACGCATGAAAGAGGAGGCTGCTGTTCCTCCACGAGCACGGGAGAAGATTGAGTTGTGTGTGGGAGGACAGAACAGGAGAATACTCCAGTTACTTGGGCCACTCCTCCAGCAAAATTAATAAGTATTGTAAGAAAGTACTTTGCTGGGCAAAAAAAAAAAAAAAAAAATTAAGCTCCTAAGTGTAGTCGAATGATGGAGCTGAGCTGGCAATAATAATAATTAAGGGGAAAAAAGAAGTGAAAAAAGGTGGCTAATTTTCTCCACCATTCAGACTTATTCTGGGGAAACAGGAGATAGTGCTTTTGTCGCTGTTTCCAAACTGGATAAATCACCCAATCTACAAGCCATAACAAATCTTTCTTCTGTTCCAGCTCTTTCTGAAATTATTTTTCCTCCAGAGAGGGAGGATTGCAGCCCCAAACTTGATTCTGAGGGGTCCAGGATATTCAAGCCTTCAAAGGTCATTCAGACACAAACTAAGACAGACCATCTAGCAGGCATGTGGGGATTGAGTTCAAAATCAAATCTAGGTACTACAAATACCCAGAAGAATTTTCTTTCCATTTTCTATTTTGCCCCATCACTCATATATTGTGCTATTGAGTTATCTAAAGAAATAAAGCATGTTTATGTCATCTAGGTATATTCAGCAAACTTTATTCCTCTCTCAAGAGTTCATCCATCAGTTTCAGCCTCCATCTAAGCTGGGGACATGTGGATCCGTAAGTATATCACTGCATCTTTCTACATCCTGTTCATTATGACGGCTGATCAGCAATTTGGGCTCAAAGAAATGCACAAACTGGCCCCAGACAAACCCCACAGGCCTGTCAGAAGACAAAAAGGGTGAGGAGAGGATAAATCCTTTTTGCTCTCCAGAAGTAACCACAGAAACCAGATGCATAAGATACATACAATGCAAATAAAGAATCCAGTCTCCTTTCAGCCCTTTGGGTTTATACTGACATGCAGGATTCATGTCTCCTTGGCAATACAGCCTCTTCCAAAGTCTTATCAAATTTCAGTTCCAATTCCCTTCTGTTTAATTTTAGAAAATGATAACAGAGTTTCAATACTCAAATAATAAATACTTGTGTTGTTTTATTTTCATGATGAGATTATTCCTGGTTGATCTATAATTAACTGATCTAGTTCAAATTGTGTCCTTCAAATTACATAATCTTTCTCTACTGTTCTCCTGGTCTCACCATCCTGAATCCTGAATGCATTGAAGAAGAATCATCATAAGCTCTTTTCAATCTTTAGGTGTTTAAATAAGACAAAGTCCTTTAACCTCTCCATGAGGGAGCCAGTGCATTCCTGTCACAGATTTTTACCCTACTCTGCACTTGTCCCAGTAAGTTGGCTGTTCTTGAGTACCAGAACTAGATGAAATATTTCCACAAGATTTTATCAAATCTTTGAGCATTGATAGCTTTATATGAAAAATACCTCTCCTAACACAGGCTAGTCATTCCCTGAATGACCAATAAGCCAGACTCTTTCTTTCCTTTGTGGCACACATTGGATGACTTTTTTCCAAGCGTTTGGCATCTCTCTTTCTAGGATTTGGTGAATCTTTGAAAGAATACAGATGTGCTTTGGTTGTTGACCTTTGCTTGTTGGCAAAATCTTAAAACTCCATTTCTTCTTGGCAACTCTTCGGCCATTTTCTGCACAACTTGTGCTCCAAGCAGAGCAGGGCTTGTTTCTGTGCCTCGACAGAACTGGTAAGATGAATACAAGTCCCATGACCACGATGATAATAATAATAATAATGATAATAGTAATAACTGGGTGGGTGGTAGTCTAGGTGAGCCCCTCTCAGCCTTTTCTTCCTCATATGTTTCCAAACCAGCAGATGAAAAGGGATTTGCAAATGCAATGAGAGCATTAGCCATGCTCTAAGCATCTTTTGCTACTGAGTTTTGAAAAATTACAAATCAGATTTGTGTTGCCTATCAGGTTTCCTAAGAGCCACAACACGAGTTGAAGCAAGTGGTGGGGACTGTGGGAATTGCTCAGGTGGTGCTCCAGCAGCTCTGGGGTGGTTCCCCTGTGCGTGGTAAGGTCAGACCAGTTTAGACTGTCCTAAGTCATAATTCACTTTTAGATCAAAGATCATATTTTGAGATGAAGAATGCAATTATGAATAGTTTATAAACTGTTAGTAAATTATTAATAGAGAAGAATGCCCAAGTCATGAATAACATGTTATAGATTATTTAAAGCTCATCAGTTCTAGTAGTGTAGATAAATACAAACCTGGCTAATAAGCACAGTATTGAACAGCCCATAACCATCGATTTACTCATTATTAATATATATATTACTGCCTTATTAATGTGTTCTTCACTCTTTATGTGATTGCTCTGGCAATAAATTAATCAAAACTGATTTCTTTTTAAGCAATCATTTGGAAATATTATTGTTCTGTACTCTGAATTTGAAATTTGTTGAAGAATACACATCAGCACCTTTTTGTCACTGTTGTAAATTAAAAACATTTTGCTGTTTATAATGGCTACCCAAAAGGTGGTATTTCCTCTGCCACTGCTATCAAAACTCCTTTCCATAAACTAATCAAACTAATGTGCAGCCAAGGGAGAAAACTGAAATAATTTTGTTAATCGAGGGCTTTGAAAGGAAAAAAGTTGACAAGCAGAAAGTTATCAGGCTTGTTGGAAGTGTGGTCCATGTGAGAATACCCTGGTGAGAGGGGTGGGGTCCACGGCTTTGGTTGTACGTAACATTATCTGAGCACAGCTCCAGGGATAACACTGAGGAAGGAGCTGGTGGGGTGAATATCAGGAAGCATTTCCTGGCAGTGAGGGCTGTTGGGTGGTGGAATGATCTCCCTGGAGAAATGGAGGAAGTCCTGTGCTAGAGTCAATTAAAGGCTAGTCTAGACAAACCCTCCATTAGGATATTCTCCCAAGGAGCACCCTTGTAGACAGAGAGGGAAATGACATGAGGGATGGGAGAATGACCTCATCCATCTCTGTCACCTTTAAAAATGCAGAGGTTATGTTGGTGTTGGCTACCACTCCACAGAGGATGCCAGTAAAGATATTAATTGTAGAGATGGTTTTGTGATACAGCTGGGAAGGAGACAGTAAATATCAGTGACTCATAAGAATTGGCAAAGAAGGTACTTCTGACGTGTCTTTCGGTCACTATTTTTGTGGTGAGGTCTGTATAATAATCAAGCACATGGGAAAAGCTATTTGGTCCATTAATAGTGCCCAATCAGGTAGTGTTTGGATGTCATCATCATAAAAGAAAACAAAAGAAAAAAGATTAAATTGCAGTACACCTAAAAACATTGGAGCGTCATCCACTGGAGACAGTCATCTTGTCTCCATCCACAGCTGCATTCCTCTAGAACTAATGCTGTAGCATAATCAATAAAAGGAGCTCAAGTCCACCTGGGTAACGGGAAAGGGCTTTATTTTATCCCTCTTGACACACCTTGGCCCTCTGGTCTGTGGCAGCA